TATATATATATATATATATATATATATATATATATATATATATATATATATATATATATAAAAATCAAAGACGGTACTGTATCATGCTATGCAAATATACATCCAGTACCATTGGGTGGTACCAAGAGCAGCACAGAAAAGGGTATCACAACTGTCCTGACACCTGTCCGCATATGTTAATCATCCAAGGGCAGGACCGGCAATCAAATACACCCCCATCCCATTAAAACAAATACCACTCAGGAGACGTGTCCAGTACGTCTCCTAGAGTTTTTCCTCGGACTTGACATCAACATGCTATAGAACCACATATCAGGGGATAAGAAAAACAACCAGGACCACAGCTCTCTAATCTCCAAGATCAGTCAGAACTGAGCCAGCAAAGCTTCAATATAAAACAAGAAAAAGCTGTAAGGTCCTTTTTGGTCATAGTCTTTCTCATGATGGTGGGTAAATCAGGGCTGGCTCTTCTGATCCTCATGACTTGTGTGCATATTAAAATGGGGCAGATCTGTGGAGGTGGAGACTCATTGACTTACCCTATCGTGTAAATTGAACACTATTAGAATTAATAAAGATTAATACTGTAAAAACAACACTCACTGCATACTGTAAAGCAGGGGTACCCAATCTTATCCGCAAAGGGCCGGTGTGTATGCAGGTTTTTGGGATAACCTGTAGGTCAGCTGTGAAGACTTTCAGCCAATCAGTCCACTAATTAGTAATCTAATTAGGGAGTTGCAGCGAAAACCCGCATACACACCGGCCCTTTGCGGATAAGATTGGGTATCCCTGCTGTAAAGTGTTAAAGGTGTGGACCCATATAGACACCATGCAGTGTTAATTTAACACTGGCACATTTGCTGTGTAACTATGTTCTACCCAATACTAACTTTAAAACTTTAACATGCAATCATGTTCTTGACTAAGATATAAGGACAAATATTTACATGTACAGGTTCCATTTTTCATTCTTACCTGAGGATGTCACGCTTGACGGCGCACGGAACGCAGACAAAAGTGTAGGACGCCAGGAATCGGAGAACACGGGGTTTTAATCAAAGCAGCAACAAAAGGAGCAGGCAAAACACAGGCTGACATTACAATGACCGGACTGGGGAAACAAACGGAAACGCGGACTAAATACAATGGACTAATGACAACAATCAGGAACAGCTGGTAAACATGGGGAATCCACACAGGGTTAACGAGGGGGCGTGGCACACGGAAGAAGCGGACGATCGGGGCATAACACAGGACAGGAGTAATGGTGGGCTTGTTGGAGGTTCTACTCGGAGACGTGCACAGGACTTGCACATGTGTGACTCAAGCACACGCTCAGTTTAAAGCTTTGACCCAATGGATCATTCTGCTTTAGTGGTGCAGTTTGTCTAATTGAGTCAGTTCAACTAAAAAACTGAAGTTGAACACATTACAGAAAATAATACATCAACCGTACATGAAAATTTAGGTCAAACCAGCTACACCCTTGTGACACTTATTTCAGTGTGGTTAAAGACCAAGATAGGGGCATTTAATGACTTCTTGGGCACAGCCATCAGTAGTGTGTCTGTCTGCGTGGGAGAATGTCGACCTTATTACCTCGGCAGTCACATTCATGTCTCTGGTGACTCTTCCTACAGCAGACAGATTGGAAGAACATGGGAGGTCATGAGGTCGCTGGAAAGGGGTGTGTGGCTCTCCCGATTTGCATGAGGACAAAGGTCCAAGTCTTTAGACTCCTGGTCCTGTCTTGCTGTATGGCTGTGAGACATGGACGCTATCCAGTGACCTGAGACGAAGACTGGACTCCTTCGGTACTGTGTCTCTTCGGAGAATCGTTGGGTACCGCTGGTTTGACTTTGTGTCGTACGAGCGTTTGCTAGAGGACAACAATCCACACAGGTGAGCTAGAGGCACAATACCTGAGGATGATCCGGCTCGCAGGATCCTCATTGCTGAGGACCCAAGTGGCTGGACCTGGCCAAGGGGACACCCACGTAACACCTGGCTGCAGCAGATGGATGGCCATTTCCGGAGAATACAACTGGACCGTGTATCTGCCTGGGGGATCGCTGGCTGGGATCCTGAGGAGTTTTGCTGTGTGATGGGTGCGGCAACGCGCTGCATCAGCGCATGCTCCCCGACCTAACCTGACTTGCTCATAGAATCATGTTTAAAAACCAACTGTACACAATAAACACACTCAATGTAATGATGTAGGTTACTCTCTCTCTCTCTCTCTTATATATTGTGGTGACTCTGGGTTTTGTTATTTGAGTTACTTGTTTAAAATGCTGAATTATTGTTGTTCTGTTCTTTCGCCTGTGATTATCTGTGTTGTGATTGGGGGGGTGAGATGGAGTATGGGTGGGGCATGTGAGAGTGGGGGTGCGCGTGC